GCGATATTCTATATTCTGTTAGAGGACTATAATGGTAGAGACTTGATCTTGGTTTAAAAGATCTTTAATTCGGATCTTCAACGTAGCTTAAAGCTCCAGAAATTGTAGTTAAAACTCTGGAAAACTAGAACTGGGACTAAATTACATTTTGCATCCGATTTTGTAGGGATTTGTCTTATAATTGCATTGTCGCAAATGACAAAATTATCTGATATTAACTAAGAATATGGTAGAGGTGTTGCCTCATAATTAACGATAAGAAAATCATTCCTAAGAGACTTGTACAACAATTAAGGTACGATATATAAGGTAACACATGGTTGTCAAAAGGTCAACAGGTACATCAGTTTATACGACTTAGATCAATATTTAAATACGCTATGAACTTAATAAACATCCTGTGGTGAAGAGTCATACACGCCATAACCTAACCCAAGGTTACACAACTTTGACCTTAAGTGAACGTGAACGAATCATATGACTAACCTTTTTTATCTTGCCTTTGAGAATAACGCAGGCTTGTATATCGCACAAAATACATGCRCAAACCTTTGTTAATAATTATTGAGTAATTGTCGTAATAAAAACATTAAAAAAAATTATAAAAAAATATATGTTGGAATTTCTGTCCCTTAACATGTTTCCCTCCTTGGATTCTTGCCTCCTGGCCAGTTAAAGAAAACAAACTAAAACGTTTTAAGGAGCATGTTAGTGGCTTTCATGAATGCGATACATGTAACATCAATGTGCGTATTCTAAACTATGGTTCCATAATGATCATGATAATGGTGATTTAAAACAGAATTTCCTAAAACAATTTAAGTTGGGTGTACCTGTTGAATTGGCCTTTTTTAAAAAAACGAAAAGAAAAATACGAGTAAATCTAAATTCCGGTTATAGAATTCCAAGTAATTTAAAAGAAAATCAACCTGTTTTTTTTTTTTGGTGGATTAAAAACATTATAGAAATTTGGGCTAGTGCAGTAGCCACCGGAGGGATTTTTTAAACTAGAAAAGTCACGATAACATGTCTTGACCTATAAAAAGGCATCTGGTTGTTCTGACAATGTTTTTGATGTGCATGTTCTGTAAAAACAGTCAGAAAATGTGTAAGTGTTCATACTGTCCTTAATCTTGTTTTGGAAATCCTGTGGTCTTGTGGGTTTCCTGTGGGTGGTTGTGGTTTGGCGTTTGCCATTTTGGTTGTTCTGTTAAAATCCAGGTCATCCGGACAAAAGTAGTAGGCAAAGGGTCGTGTAGAATCATCAGTACAGTCGAGTCAGGTCGGATATTAATGTTAGGTCGGTTTTTGTTGGAGTGGGAATAATTTGCAGTTCATTCGTGAGCACCTGGGCGATCAACGTGGAGAGCTGTCAACATCGGTGGTTGTCAATGGCTTATTACATCGTGAACAACATTCCATTTCGAGGCTTCCGTCGCCTTTATGATATCGTACAATGTTGTTTTAGGTATCACATGATTTAAAACACAGTATGCGACGTATGAAACATACGAGGAGAGCCAAGAGAGCTATATTGACAATGGCGAAGGTGAGTGCTGCCCATGCGATGATTTGCATCGCAGAAGTGACTGATGTTTCTTGAATTGTATTGATATTCCACTGTGGGAATGCCTGGAATCTTAACTTTGCCTTCAATGGCACATTTGCCATTTTTTTCCCACTGTTTTTCCAGCAAATGTAATTACTGTTGCAATTTGCTGCAAAAGTTTTTCCACTGTAGGAATGCCTGCAATTTTAACTTTTCCTTCAATGGGACATTTGCCCCCTGGAGAGTGATCTGAAAAACGAGGGTATAATACAAGAGTAAGTACAAGACAGTACTAAAATCAGAGGTGAGTAAAAGATGCTAATATTATTGTCCTTAATTGTTTGAATTTTCCTGTTCAAGGGTCCAAGGGTCTGTTGAAGCAGAGGTGTGGACCAACTTTGAAAGAGCGGTAGTGAAGGTCTAACGTAGTGCGATTGGATGGGACTGTCCATGGGATGTAGCGTATGACCTTGCTACTGAAGATTTGAATAGACATTGTTAATGTTCATGGACATTGTCCAAAACCAGTAGGTAAGAGTGGTGACGTTTCATTGCATGGAATATGGTACACAGTTAATGGCATCATCGATAAAGTCTTTGTCTTGAGACGTATATTTTGTTCCATTGTAGACAGAAAGAATCGTCCACCAAGATGAAGTAATGGTTGGAAATCATCACATTTAACTGATAAATGGTTTCTTGTGAAATTATAAGTTGACCCTGGAGTCCGATTAATACCAAGCCACGTAATATCTTTAGTATGCTGTAGTATGGTCTCGGGGCAGAGGCAAGTGCCTTCTAGACTATAACATTGTGTTAGTACATCAGGTCTTAGTACAAGCTTTTGTTTGGGGCAAGTTATTAAAACTAAATCGTTATATGAAAGAGGACAAGTGTAACATTTGCGTTTTTGTTGATATTTGATTGGTACAAGTGATTCCAGAGTAGAAAGAGAATTTTCGATTTAATTATTGGAACAGAAGTTAAGGTATGAAGCGAAATATGTTTATCACGATGTTCCTATTTAGTTTATGGTTTTATAAACAACGGAAATCCGTCTTCTAAAATTGCTGATGAAAAAGAAAGTTCATTTTGTACCTTGAAATTTGCAGAAATAAAAGATTGTGGTAAATCGTTGTAGCCAATTAATTCCCTGTTTTGTATATGAACAAATTGAGTGACAATATCTTGAATTTCACTATATTGTAGCAGAGAATTAAGAATTTTATTACTTTGATGCGAAAATTTTGCCAGAAATTCTATATTAGCATTGTAATGACATTGATCCTTTTCTTCAAATTTCTTGAGCTGTCATTTACACGAGAAGTGAGTTTATCTGTAATTTTTATTATTTGGACTGTTTTCCCATTGACCGTACGGATCAGTGCAGCTTAATCCTGAAGGGAATCAGCTATAGCCCATATAGTTTTTTCAAGTTTCGAAATATGGTTTAGTTCACAATTTCCGCCAAAAGCAGATTGAACAGCTCGGATTAGTCCAAAGACAACTGAATGGCAAGCCCAAGTTGATCTTTTGGGTCTAGCTCTAGTTTGAAGCCAAATTCGTTCATTGGGACTAATGTGAGAACATTTCTTCAAAGCCCAATGTTTGCATTCCTGAGTTGATCGGTAGACATGTGGATAAATAAATTGTGATTGTAATTGTGTCTGAAAGTTATATGAGTTTGCCAAATAACAGCGACATTCCATCAAAAGAGAAAAAAAATCTGGTAAAGACATCAGTCGCCAATATTTTCATTTGTTTTTCTGAAAGAATCAAGTAATTTAGTCATGAAATTTGTCTGTCTTGAAGAATTGTTTATTTGCGTCCTAGTGGGACTGTTAGTTTCAGAGCAAGGTTAATAACTTGAGTATTGTGGTAGAAGAAAAGAGGGTTAGAAGCCAAGGTTAAGCATGAAGGATATGTTATCGTTTTGCCATTAGAGTCAAAGTTAGTATGCGATGCGGTTGCGTTTGCGAAAAAGGTTAGAAAAATTAAACTCAACATTCTTGATTGGTGGTGGTCACTGGAACAAGACAATAACAAAAAGTGTAGTTGTGAGCTTATGAAGTCTGCATAAGGTGTACGTGAGCAAGAGCAAACAAAAGGGAGAAAATTACTTAGCCTGGTAGGGAGCGAATGGAGCTGTTGGGGACTGCAATCTCGTTCTGATTGCTGCCAGGGCTTCATGGAAGCCTGGGGGATTTGGAGGGTGAACGTAGTCCGGAAACGGATCTGGAGTGGGTATGTGCTCCAAATTATCACCAAAGTTCAATTGATTGAAATTTATGCGTAGTGCTCAGCGTCTTGGGTGAGAAGGCCAGCGTCGGGGGTGGCTGCGATGAATGTTATTGACCAGAAGGCGATTGGAATACCGTCTCCCAATGGTCCAAGCGGTTCGTCACTGTTGTAGGGGGCTAAGCCCTGTCGGAAGTGGGGGAGGTGTAAGTGCCGCTCTTGCGGGTGTTGACAAAATTGCTGGAGACGGCTTTTGTGAATTTGTTTCTTGCAGCAAGGTAACTGCATTTCTCCCCTCAGATTGTTTTGTTTTAATTTCTTTTGACACTACAAAAAGAAGTGGGAAAAGAAACAGTAATGTTGTAAGAAGAGAGAAATTGTGAGTGTAAAACTAAGAGGAATGGAAACAACATGATGAGCCTCTCATCATGTTGTCTTCGGGTTCCCCTGTGGAGTCTTTTAGAGGAAAACCTGCCCATTTTACAAGGTATTGAATTCGCCCTTTTCGAACACGTTTTTTAGTATTTTTTCGGCAGTAAAAATGTCATCATTTTCAGTATCGAAATCAGAGTCATTTTCGTTTTCAGAGTCATTGTTATCGTTAGGATCGTTATCTGTGTCTTCATTATGCACTGTTCGATCAATAATGTTAGTAGGTTGCTCGGTCTGGTCACATTCAGTTTTAAAACTGTCATCTGGCATTTCATCACTACATAAGCATTGATCATCATGATCTTCAATGTTCTCTGGCGGTTCTATTGGTCTATCATTAGAGTCATAATAGCTTTTCAGTCTATTTGCATGAATGACCGCAGCTACTCTACGATTGTCACACGTCCAAAGTACGAAATTAGCTGGTGACAAAATTTCAACAATGCGATATGGCCCATGCCATAAGTGCCTAAGTTTTTTCGATAAAACAGTCGGGATTGCCGGCGTATAGACCCATACTTAATCACCTACTGTGTATTGGGGATTGCGAGCTAATCGATCATGTTGGTCCTTCATGCTTTGCTGAGCCAATTTTATATTATTACGTGCTACTTCATGAGCAGTTTCAATGTTACGAACAATACGTGCTTAGTGTTCCAAAATAGATGGAGACATTCTTAGGTGGTAACAATTTGACATCTATTGGCAATCTAGGTTCTTTACCATGTAAAGTAAGTTTAAGTCCGCCGGTCAAAACTGTCTCGCTTAGAGGTGGTTAAACTGTTGTGTCTAAAAGGTGTACCGTACAGTGCTCTAGAATAGGTGTCTTATCATCACTGCACTTGTTGGAAGGAATACCTTAAGGCAAATTTAGTGTGCTACTTTCTAGATCAATATTTGCATTGTAGTGACTTAAGAAGTCTCTGCCTAGAATAACATCATAAGTCAGGCGCTCCGCTACTTCAAATCTCTAATTTGCCAGGTCATTGATTTTCACCCAGAAACCAGTTGGGGCTAGTGGTGTTTTGTGAAACGCAGTCCATGACAACCCTTTGGTGCTGCCCTTGGGCTGTATATTGAGTTCCCCTGAAGCTCAGTCATTTGCCTTTTTTTTAACTTAGACAAACTGAATTTTAAGTGACAAGATTTGACGCACTTGGCACTGTTTGAAGCAAGGTCGTCCAATGTGTAGTCAGTTGGATCAATCTTAATTTTTTTTTTATTTCTACAAGGAAAATTAAGAAAAAATAATTATTAATACAAAACATGCATTTCAATTTATAACCTTTTGTTTTCTTGGAAATTTGTGATCAACAGAATGCCGAAATCTTTAGGGATTTTACCACATTCTTTTCCTTTGAGTGAATGATCCCTATACAGCTTTCATCGTTTATTAGAGTACGGCCATACATACATGCAGCTTTGAAAATGATTAAAAATCATGCACAATCTTAAGCTTATATACAGTCAATCCCTTTAACATTGTTCAGTTTCTAAGACATAAATTGAAATACCAATAACTTCGCAAAGAAAAAGAATATCGAAAAACGCTCACATGGTTTTTAAGTTCAATATATAGTGACCAATATACCGTACAAATTTTGTTTAAGAGATAAACACTTTTTTCGATTTGGCTTTTTAAAGTTTTGGACTCGATTTTTGATTATTAATATGTAATTAATTAGCTATTGAATGTTATTACAAACTAATGTCATAGAATTGCTTTAAGTAGGCTGCTAATTAGAAATGATGTTGCCATTTGAAATGTGGTGGCATGTTTCCCAATGTTGACAGATCAATATATCTGTAAATTGATTAATGAGTGGAAGATATAAGACGTGCAAAGTTGTAAATATACATTTTCTGCATGATTACATTATATCCCAATAAAGCACTGATGAGAGGGGTTGGGGAATTGGCTACCCACTTTGTTCTTTCTCTACTCTGTTCATTTTCCCTGAGTGAAGTTGCATTACAACACATAAAACTGTGTCGTTTGTTAATTTATCCCTATGCTTCTGAATTGGTCAATTATCAAGTACAGTGCTTGGATCCTAACACTTATTTGAATGATGGCAAGACGAACAATAGTATGCAGTCTATATTACATACTAAGTTTCCAGAGGATTCTCAATATTTTCTGTGTTTATATCTCTTCTTTGCATAGCTGATTCGTGAAACCATGATAACATTAATTGTTCGATTTCGGCTTGCGATTTTCAGAACTGTTCGCAAAGCCTAAAACAACAGGGTCTTGTTGAGAATCGTACCCACTTAAGTAACTTCTTTCTTGAAAGTATAGCTTTTTTATTATAAGCGGTTATATTATATAACCTATTTTTTTCAAGTTTGACGATTATCCAGGAGATTTCAACCTTTATTCGACTATGAGAGAGACTCCAGGATAATCTGTGAGGGTTAACAGCTATGTCTTTGATATATAGAAGACATAAAATACCAGAAAGTTCTGAAACCAGGGTGTTGAAAAAAGTGAATAATGTTATCAGTGACTACAGTTTTATGTGTAGTGCTGTAAAGAGGAGAGTGTGAATGGGTTAATGCAAAGGGAAAGGTTATATGGTTATATTAAAAAAAAGTTCACTGGAAGCCCAGTGACAATCTGAAATGCTTCTACAAATCCCACAGCCAGATTTTAAGCAGAATTCATGGAAAAATCTGTCACAGCAGGGACATGTGATCCTCCACTGCTATTGCTGACATTTCGTCGCTTTCTGTTTGATCTTGGGAAGAATTTTCTTGTGAGGAAGCGACAATAATTACACCAACCACATACGAAATTCCACTTCTTCTTGCAGTATTTCTAGAATGCTCCGTAGCAATACGAGTGAGCTTCGTGTCATTTCGATTGTTGGGCGATTATAATCTAGTGATAATTCTGACCTGACATATTTCATACTTTTTAGAAATATCGACTTGCTAATATGTGGTTTGAAAATTGAGGGAAAGATTTTTTCGTAAAAAGCCGAGGCGCCGCCATTTTTGTTTTAATTAGTTTTGCCTTTAAAATCTTGTGCCATCATCAAACCTAGAGTCCATTTCCCTAAGGTAAAAAAATAATATATGCTACTTTAAATTTACAACTTTACATAGTGAATTTAAATACATTGCAATTGTACTTTTTTTTTTTTGCAATTTTAATTTTTGAATCCGTGATGTTTTACAAAATAAAATACACAAGAAAAATCACAAGAAATTATAAGAGCGACTTTTTCCACCTGCGCATTTCGATAGCAAAAGGCGTGATATAAATGGGAATACAGAAAACTCGCGCTATAATTAAGAGATAGATACACCAGAGTTTTATTGGATAAGTAAAGATTAAAGAATAGTGCCAAAGTGAAAGAAGAAAAAAATCCTCAAGGTTCATCAATGGAAAATAAGTACTCGTCAGACTTGGAATTTTGCGAGGCATTTAGAGCCAGCAACATGCCACTACATAAA